TAATTTCTTTACCGATTATTCAAGTATTAATTAGGTCAATCAACTCAAATACAGCTTTATGCACATACTTTCTGTTGTGTAAACTCAAGTAATTGTTTACTCGCGCAGAAAATGAATAAAACCTTTAATCGTTAGTCATCCATCTAAATTAATACGTTCAATTTAGTCTCTAAATTTTGATAATGAAGCAAAGTATTATTTAAAATTTTATTCACATAGTTTATTATAATTTTTTTTTCTTTTTGGAATGGAATATTTAATATTAACTTCTGTTACATGGATTCAAGAACGTTTTTTCTTGCAAATTAAAAAATACATTAGATTTTTTGTTCTAACTTTTTGTTTTAAGTTTGTAAGAAATCAAAATTCGTATTTTAGATTCAAACGAACGCTCTTGATTTTGATTGAAAATAAATAATTTTTGCCAAGTCATTCCTTACTCAATTATCAAAAAAAGGTAGCGAAAAACCAAACAGTCTCGGGAAAGATGCTTTATATGTCCAACTCACCTCCGGGCCACCGCTGAATCTCGAGCATCAAATCATCTTATCCTAGTCTCTTTTAAAAAAAATCCAAGATCTTCTTTCACTTCCGATCATGTAAAATTACATCTGTGAATACTCTTGCAAATGAGAATAAAAGCTCTCTCTCCATTTCAGCGTCGCATCGAGCAACGCTGGTATCCGTGAATACGGTATTCTTCGTTTCCTCATTACTCCGCTAATAACAATATCTTTTCTTGAGTGCTGTGCATTTTTTTCTGATATTTTTTTTTTTTTTTTTCAAATGAAACTTTTAACACAAAAGTTGTCACAGCTATTTTATCTTTGTTTTAATTTTAATTACGTTCGAAGTATCGTACACTCGAGCATTTCCATTTTAATGATCCCCGAAAACAAGAACCTCTATTTACGAGCGGTTCGATCGAAAGAGCCTTTAATTAAACGAACATCGATAGTTGGGGTTGAAAAATTGACGAGCGAGCCGATTCGGGTACTGGAAGATAAGATTTGTTTATTCCAACGTCGCGTGCACTTTTCAGGTGGCAATTTTTCACCCGCGAATCGATGGATTATTTTCGGACCTTAAATCTTTGATAAAGCCAATTCGTATTTTCATCCCAGCCCCGGCGTGCCACTTTTCCAGCCCCCTCGACTCGCGATACAGACAAAGGAAATTTTCCCGAGATCACCTGAATCAGAATAACCATAAAAATAGAACACCTGAGAAGTCGAAGGCAAAGAAAAGCCCCACTCACTCAGAGTCACGTTTCCCCGAAGCGCAAACAAGCACAAGAGCACGTTTCCCCGCACCACATCGACTAATCTTCCTTTCCACCACATCAACAGCCACGAAAAAGCTCTCTCCTGTACCGTCTAAGAGAAAAAAAGAAAAAAAAAGCACACCGCCAACAACAACAACAAAGGGACACGCCGAAAGAGCTGCGGGCCAAGCGCTCAGCTCGTCTGACCAAACGCGTAGCGCAACCACTCGAGCAACCCTCCGAGCTTTACTCCTTGCCCCCTCTGCTCTTACAAGCCCGTCCAGGGAGTGCCTCATCCCCCTTTCGAGCTTGCAGCAACAACAGTAGCAGCAGCATCATCATCGCATCACCTGTTGGTTCGTTGGCTGCTGTGCCAACTTGTCGACGGTCCAGCTGCGACGGCAGCGACCCCCACAGCCGAGCTTTGCGCTTCTGTGCTGCACGCAGGCGCCGATCGATCTATAGGCAGCTCTTTTCCCGTTGTATATTTATTACTTGGCTTGCTTTTTTTTTTTTTTTTTTTTCCATGCTGTCGAGCGTTGAGACCACAAATTTCCGGCTACCGATAGTTCTTTCGGGGCTTTTGGTTAAGCTTAAGTTTTAAGCTGTTCGACTCTCTTGGCTTTTAAGTTTTTCGCTGTTTCTTTTAGTTTGGCGATTTTTTTTTTTTTTTTTTTAATGATCAAAATAACTGCTTAAAAGAAATAGGGGAAACAATATTATTACTAAGCTTGATTGATGAACCTGATGTTTGCCGTACATTTTTTTGAGTATAAAATCTTCCTGTAGCTAGTTTTTTGTTTCAAAAGTATGATAAAAAATATTCATATTTATTACCATGGGTTGAATTTTTTGCATTTCCACGAATCATCAAATACTGAATATACACTTGGTGACATCTTCATGTCGCTGTTTGAATCATCTTATTTATACGTTTTGTACCTCCAATAGGTATGGATCCAATAATTCAAGGGTATCTGGCTATCGCGAATATATTCCTACTACTGGTACATTATTATGTTTGTTGTCTTCTTAGCAGTAACGTAAAAATCTGAGTTGCCATTACGTTTTTCTGTTACTTGTACTCAAGTATTTCTGATAAAAAATTTCTTTTTTTTTTTTATTAACATGTCATACGCGAGTTTTTATTAAACAATGTGAATTTTTCAATTATATCGAGTACCACCAACTCGAGAACTACTACACACTAAAAAGTGTTTGATTATCATTAACTTATTACGCAATGAAACATTTCATAGTTAATTCATAAAAGAATTACAGCATTAGAAAATTGCAAAGTATATAAAATTGTCTTATTCGTTATTTTACTAAATAATTTAAATTATAATTTAGAACCAAATTGTTTTTATNACATAAATCATCTTCACTTACGAACATAATTGCCCAAACGAAAAATTTTTATCAACATTCCATCTCGTTATCCTTGCTCCAAATCATTTGTAGACGATATCATTTCAAATGGAATTTTTTTATACATTAAACTTTGTAATACTAACAAAAGCCATCTTAGCGAGACAGTAATTTTTTCGCTATGAGGATACACACTCATTCAATTTTATCTTTTTTAATTTTAACATCCTAAAGATTGTTTACACTTATCGAACGGTCACTATACGTCGTACCCCTCGAGGAAAAGTTGCTATTTTTCTTTAGCAATAACGCTCCGAAAAAATTATACTAAATTCTTGTTCATCTTTATTTCGCTCACATTTTTTTTATACTTCTATGATTTCTCATTCAGTGTGAATTTTCACGCTTACCAGAACTTTAATATGTACATCGATATACTTATATATTTCTCCAAACTTGTCATTTGTGCGTTTGGACTTTTACTACAGAATTAATTATTTGAGATCCAGGCAGTGCGTGGGTTGGTCGCGCTTACATTGATATTACCTTTGCTCATCTATTGCTTGGTAATAATCATAATTTCTTTTTTACTTTTTTTCAGCTAAGAATTCTTTTTGACAAATTAATAACCGGATTTTAGAATTTTTTTTTTAACTTTAAAAAAATTTTTACGTGGAAGTGGCATGTACTTAAAACGAATTTCATGAGTCAGTTCTTCCGCAGCTTCACACCAATAAACACTACTGTCTGCTTATTTTCCTCTTACAAAAATGATACCAAAGTCAAGTTCACTTTCATTTGTTATTGCAGTTTTGGTGTTTTATATAGTGGAATATAGTTCTGCTCATATAAAAATTAGTTTAAACAAACACAGGAGTCATTCTTACGCTACTTTATTAGCTAGAAATCAGCAAAACTTCAATGTTCAACAAACAAATGTCGAATGGGTTTGTACAAATCCAAAAACGAACGATATGGTAAGTAAACTTTTTTCTTTTTACATAAATAAATCGAAATTAAAAATCAAAGTAATATCATTTTGTTAATGGTATCATAAAAATAAAGACATTATTCACTTTTCGAATAGACAAAGTCATTATGTACAGTACATCTTGAAGTAAAGCGCAATATCGAATGTTATTGATTGACATAAGATTTATCAATGAGGAATTCTTTATTTTCTTAGATTGACCTTGTACATAATGAAAATGAGGAAAGTAAAAATAAAACAAAATTGTTTACTAGTTAATACGTAGAAATTAATAATAAAAATGTTGAATTACTGATTAAGAAAAAAAAAAAAAAAAAAAAAAAAAAANTTGAAGAAAAAAAAAAAAAAAAAATTGAAAGTTGTTTGTCTTGTAATGCACACCTCGTGACATTGTATGTCCGTCGTAATCTAGCAAAGTTTTCAAATTATGTTAGTAAAAAAAAACGAATCATCAAAAAATATTTCCAGATGATTATTACATCAGAAGATGCTCCAAGATTTGGAGGTCAAAGTGTGCCCCAACCGTGGACACAATCAAATTATCCTCAGGTTCAGATACCGACACACAATCAACCGATAAAAGTTCAACCAGTGGATCCTCAAACTCAGCAATGGGCTCAGACCGGATCACAGATTAATCCAACGTACCAAAAAGTAGCAAACATTCCGATTAACGTAGGACCAACGCAAAACCCACAGCCAATTGTAAATGATCCACAGCAGTGTACGTGCACCCCAATGATTATTAAAATAATATTAGCTTTCGTTTTTTTCGCATGACTGCTTTTAAACATATTACGTTATCGAATGTCACTTCAACTTTATTATTTCAGATCCGAAAAACACTGACGGAGACGGCCTTATTGACATCAGAATGGGACATTAACGAACTTTTAACAATAATAAATAATGAGTAAAAATTATTCATTGAAAATATACTTGTTATCAAAGTGAAATCAAAGAATTTTTTTATTTGAAAATCAATATTTGTGTAGCTGGTCTTACGATACTTCCAAAATGATTGAACTCAACAAATTAATCAGGTCAATGTAAACACATACATCAATGTTAATGCAAGTATACTTTAAATGCGCATACTAACTAAACACGCATAAGGTGAACTAAATGAGCCCATTTCACCGTTTTTTTTTTGTTTTCTTGAACTAACTGTACAAGAAGTATTACAAAATTAAAATAAATATCATTTTTAAAGACCATTTTAGTTAATTTTCTGTACATTAATGTTGTACCGAAAATGAATGAAAAATGGTAAAGGAAACCAATTATTTAAAATAAATATGTCAATCAAATTGGAATTTAGTTGATTTATTAAAACTTTCTATTATTATATCATCTTAGTTTCTTTGAATCTGCGCTTCTGTACATTTTAACCTTCGCTACAATTGCATTTTTTTAATCTTTCGTCTTACGTCACGGGCATATCTTTGCATACACCACATTTCGGAGATTTATTTATCCTTTATTTTATAATCTTATAACGGAGAAAAAAAATTAGTTTTTCATCAATATACTTGTAAATCTTCGAATCGCAAGATTTGCTAGTCTCACGTTTTATTTTTAAAATTTAATTAATTTACTATTTTACTTAAAAAATCTTACTGTTGGTTATTAATGCTGTCACACGTACCAATAAAAGTTTCTTTCACACTATTTTATTTGATAACAATCGTACAACGCAAAATATATCATTTTGTTAAACGGAGAACTGTAACAAAAATATTCATCGTTTAAATAACATAATTATGTCCTGTCAAATAAATTTTTTTTTTCTACGATAAATATTAAAAATAATTCTTATGTCACGTAATACTGATAATATAAAGTTGTTACATATTATTATTTCATAAAAAATTGTGTTCAAATGTACTAAGGGAAAATTTAATAAACTACTACTTCGCATATTCATTATTCTTATAGAAGTTAATTTTTTATGACACATCTAATTAAGTGGCTTACATACTTATTTGCTATGAAAAATTATGAACATAATTAGGTGTAAATTTTCTCGTTCTTTTTCGATGGTCGATAAATAAAATTTCTTTGCTATCTTGCGATTCGAAAAGTCATTGTACCTATTGCTACAAGAGAAACTCATAGATGTCCTTTAATCTTATTTTTCCTTATACAATATTTTTTATACAATATCATTCTTATCGAATACAGCAATTTAATTTTCTTTTATATCACAAGTTTTTATGAATCAAGCAATGTAATAAAATTTATCCTACGCTATGAACAATTTAATTTTTATAATATTCTTTAACGATTTACATTATACGTGTTTTTAACTTTCAGATACTGACATTTCATCCACTTGAAGGGAATTAAAACAGTCTAACAAATTTTTCACGCTTTCTCGGACGTTTTTTACCAATAAAATTTACTGTATGAATAATCAACATAAATCATCTTCACTTACGAACATAATTGCCCAAACGAAAAATTTTTATCAACATTCCATCTCGTTATCCTTGCTCCAAATCATTTGTAGACGATATCATTTCAAATGGAATTTTTTTATACATTAAACTTTGTAATACTAACAAAAGCCATCTTAGCGAGACAGTAATTTTTTCGCTATGAGGATACACACTCATTCAATTTTATCTTTTTTAATTTTAACATCCTAAAGATTGTTTACACTTATCGAACGGTCACTATACGTCGTACCCCTCGAGGAAAAGTTGCTATTTTTCTTTAGCAATAACGCTCCGAAAAAATTATACTAAATTCTTGTTCATCTTTATTTCGCTCACATTTTTTTTATACTTCTATGATTTCTCATTCAGTGTGAATTTTCACGCTTACCAGAACTTTAATATGTACATCGATATACTTATATATTTCTCCAAACTTGTCATTTGTGCGTTTGGACTTTTACTACAGAATTAATTATTTGAGATCCAGGCAGTGCGTGGGTTGGTCGCGCTTACATTGATATTACCTTTGCTCATCTATTGCTTGGTAATAATCATAATTTCTTTTTTACTTTTTTTCAGCTAAGAATTCTTTTTGACAAATTAATAACCGGATTTTAGAATTTTTTTTTTAACTTTAAAAAAATTTTTATTTTTGTGTCAACGTACGCACTAGACTTTTTTTTTATCGTAATCATTTTGACTTTATAACATGAGGTAAGAGGTACAGTAGATAGCTGAAAAATGTTGGCATTTAGCATTTGGCATCTTGATTTAACACTTTTTTAATAGGTCAATCACAAAATATACAATTAAATTGGTGCATCTTTCAAATTAGAAGCATTGATTAAATTAAGAGCAAATGGATCAATCAATCATGAGTAGATAACTAAAAATATTGATTTAAAACTGAGTAAATATATATTTTTCAAATTTTTCTACTTAGTCGCATCCACTCGTTTACACGGTATGACACACATTCTCGTAATGATTATCTAGCTTTTTATTTTATCAAAGTGATTATTTCATATTTATAAATTTTTTTCGAACCACGAGTTGACTCAGGAAATCGTTTTGATTGATGTCATTTTAATTGTATAATTTACATACGCAACTATAGCTGGCTTAAATAAAAAAAATTTTTTTTTCGTTCTCTTGAGAAACTTTTAATACAATATTACGGTAATATATTTTTCTTTGAAATTTTGTTTGAAAATTACAGGTATCAATTTATAAAAAAGAACTATTTATAAACTTCAATCAAAACGATTTCTCAACTCTATCGCTTTTTTTAAATCTCATCATGTGGTTATTAAGTTAATTTACAGGTACCTAAAAATGCTTTACATTCCCGTTATTCCCATTAGAAGTAAGAAAAGTTCATCATCATAATCGTACATGTGATATTCTACGAGATATTTTGGTAATTTATTCTCTTTAATGTACTTATTAATTCGTTTACTTAATAATTTATCATTTTTTAATGGAAGTGTAGATGTATCTTTTAATTAAATTTTCACTCGCTACTGAAGTGATAAAAACTTTAGCAATACTGAAAAAATGATCGTTTGAAAATAATTTTGCAGCTTATTTATCTCCAAATTTTCGTACACTTCATATTATTTTCTCTATTTTAACTTCCACCTCTTTGAACTCGCTACTTTTGACTCAAAGATAGAACTTACTTTTGTTTTTTTGCTTTAATCCCTGGTAATATATTAGTGAGGATTGTGATACTTTTTATTTAGTATTGATTTTTTACAACGCTCATTTAATACGATAGTCGTATAATCTATATTCATTTTTTCCCCGACCACCCTTTTTCCTTATTTTTTTTTATAACTTTAAGATTGCGTAATCTTTGTGAAACGTTATGCCTTTTCAGGCATATTGTAATTTACATGTATTTTCTACATATACTTTGATCAATTTTATCGATTATTCTGTCTTTACAACTCTAATTGGCATTTATTTTGTAATGTTAGCAACTTCAAAAAAAAATTTCATAAGTTATTTTTAAAGCGATACGAAATTTTTTTGCTCCATTATTAGTATAAACGTTACTCATTTCAATCAGTTCAAACATTTGATAATACTCATTGTCATATTTATTATTTAAAAATTTTAGCGATCATCATTTATGACATCAAAATTGATTGTTCATTGTTTCTTTTTGTGTAAATTATAAAAAACTCTTATAAAAATCGCCATGATACTCTTACATAAAATTCAATAATTTACAAAAAATTTGGTCATTCAAATTACACATTAAATTTTATAAATTTGTTTCTTTTTACATTTAACAGTTTCGTATCACTTTAATTATCATTTATTTTCACCTATAAAGTTAAACTCGCTTTAGAATCAATCGATTTACTTACAATATCAGTCTAGTATGGCAAGCAGGTTATTTTTATGCAGCTTTTAAGGAATTCGAGTTAAACTTTCAATTCTACATTTTCCAGGTCTTAAAAATCTGGAATTTTCTATTGCCAACTTAGTAAAAATTATTTGAACGCTTGTTTTTTTTTTTTTTTTCGATATGAAAACAGTATTTTTTGTGGGTAATTGGCAGTTAGGGTTGAATTGTGAAAAACAAATTGCATGTAATTTTATACTTATATCATTAATTTTAGTACATTTTAACGCATGTTATTTTTGTTATCTCTTGGAAGAATTGTTTTTATTGAAATTTTTTTTTTAATAAAGATATATTAATGATTTTTAATAGACTGAACCGGTTTCTCAAGTGTGTAAATGTGTATATAATATGATAATGAGGTTTGAATATTACTTTAGATTTTTCAGCAAATTAAGTTTTGCTTGAAAATATTTTTGTTAAGTATTATGTTAATTATATAAATGCGTGTAATGAATCTTTTTTGTTCGTTATTTTTTTTATGCTATTTGCTTTTCACAACTTGCCTGACAATTTGGCACTTGAACATTATTTTTCCTCGCGTTTACATTGTTAACGTAGTGCCGAAGCTTCGTCACTATTAGTAATAGCATCTATAAATTTTATCAACAAATTATTCCAATACACAGTACAAAATTTTTAATTAATTCAGTAAAATTTAATATTTGAAGAAAAAGGTTCATTTTATTACAGTTTTTTAAATTAACTTATGATTTTTATAGTTATTTCAAAATGTTTATTACAAGCGGAAAATTTGTTATTTCAAACACATAAAACATAATGAACACTAGGTGTATTGATTGTGTCAATGGTACAATTTTTAATACTGGAAATGTATTTTATATAATTTTGGAAGTGTAACGTAGGATCGATCGTGCGAAGAAACAATTTTTGCTTAAATGAATTTTCTCACTTATTTTCCTTTTACCAATAACGTATGAATTAGGGTATTTATTTTAAAATAACTGAATTAATAAATTAACTGGTATGATAAAAATTGTGAGTGATTAGCAAAAATCGTCTGACACAATTAAAACACACAAAATAAAAAAAAAATATTGACGATCGATTCCACGTCACTCCGAAGCCGTTAATACTTTACATAAAAAAGTGCTGACGAGGAAAAAGCGCGCTTGTTACAAAATTCATTACAAAAACACCAAAAACCATCGGGGCTACGAAAAATCGTGCTCAATACATTGGTCGAACGCTAACTGCATTTAAGACGATCTTGGATAAAAAAAAAAGGATCGAGGAACTATTGTAGCCGGCCTATCATCCTTTCTCCACGTGGTCCTCAACTTCGGCGAAAGCTCTCATCATTCGTTCTGTAGTGCTGGTGAAGAAAATCCACTAGCTGGGACTCGGGAGGGCGAGTACGTTGCTTTAAGGCGATCAGGACGCGCCGTAGGCACAGGCCGAGTTGTCCGGCGGACTGATCTTCTCGACCGGCAGCACCGCCGCCTTCTGCCACTCGTCCCTTACCTACATGGCATCATTAAATTATCCAGTTAGTCGATGGCCCTTGGGGAGAAAAAAAAAATTTTTAAGGAAGGTCAAAGTGCATTATTTACCTGCTCGACTTTTCCAAAGACCCTGAGGAGGTTAAGGCCAGCGAGCTTTTTTAAGTCGTCCTCTGACCACTTTGGATCCTCTAGCAGTGAGGCCAACAGGTGGGGGTACTTTGACACGTCCTCCAAGCCCACGGGTGTACTGTAACGTGAGGAGACAAGATATTATACTCGTCAGTGACAATTTCTTTTAGATGGTAGTGAGGACTGTTTTTTCGGACATACGTGAAATAAAAGGCGGAAATTGGATGGGTATGAAAAACGTTTGATCAAATAAGTGAAAAATCTGTTGATTTTGTCATTGAAAGTTATATTCTCGCAACCGAATCAGTGAAACTAATTTAACCGATTGCTGTAATTAAATTTCAGTATCGTCAGTCAGTGTGTAGTCACTGGAAAAATCAATGGATATCCAAACAGACTTGGGCCCAATTTATTTAATGATTATCAAACACAGTAAAATAAAATTACTTTTTCCTGAAATAGTGCATATTATATAATTGAAAACATTTTTTATTCATCACATTTCACTGTACAATATTGAGAAAATTCGTTTTTCGTCGTATAAGTGCAACACATTTTTCAAACAATTATTATAATATTTTTAAGTATTTTGTATTTTTTTTATTTTATATAGTAAATGCATTGTTTTTGATGGAAAATTTTTTGTTAAGTTCTGTTTTGTAAGTAGTAATTAAAAAAATTTTTTTCAGCATGATTGAACGCGAAAGTTATGTTAAAAAAATATCCGTGCCAAAGACTGTATCTAAATTCACGCCGTTCACGGAGAGGTCAGTGATTATGTTGGTTTTCCCGATTTTTCTAGTGATTATTTACCGATTCGTGGTGACTTTATTTTAACTATTTTGATCAGTAAATATTGACCGTGAATCAATGAAATTTCGCTGATTCAGTTTAATAAACGAAAAAACAACTGAATTAGAGAGAGCTTATGATTCACAGTCAACTGCTTTTACAATTATCTATGAGGGTAGTTTAAATGGAAAATAAAACTCTGGAGATGCATTCTATGCTTTATAAACTATCGATAAACAACGCTTGATAAACAAAACAACAATAATCACGACACTTTTTATTGAAAAAGGCTCCGATCAAAAATAATTGTTTTATGCTCATTGATTTCAAAATATTTAGTTACAGTAAATTAACGAATAATGTCAGACCCTCTACATCAACCCCTTGTATTGATAATAAAAAAGAAGAAAACACTTTTTAGGACTACAAAAAAGCTTCCAACCCCGAAAAACCAAAATTTCCTCCAACAATAAAGAATCGAACAATAGAAAGGCCCCCCCCCCCAAAAAAAAAACCATTCCGAGCATCAAAGCGAGCAACGCAACTGTATTCCAGCCGCGATCTACGATCTACGGAAATCACAGAGAACAGAAGTAGCAGGAGGAGGAGGAGGAGCAGAGGAAGCGCATGCACATATAGAACTGCGTACACGCAGTGAGCAAAGCCGGGCACACGTGCAGGACGAAAAGCAAAGAGGGGGTAGGAGGGGGTCGGCGTTGGGCGATAGTTACAAATTTATTCCATCGAATCCGGCGCCGATGCCGACGTGATCGATGCCAGCCACGTTCCGTATGTGATTGATGTGCGCTGAAAATAAAACGCCAACCGTCAGACCACCATATATATACAGCATTTTGGACTCTGTCTAAGCCCACCCACGCGTCTGCTCGTTAGTTCGTTTTCTCCATGTGTGCAGTGTATGTATACGCAAGGGGTGCAATTTTTCTTTTTTTCCTTTTTTTTTTTTTTTTCACGCGCGTGCGTGTACCGCCACGGCTTGGGGTTTTATCCGTCGATTGGAGGAACGGCCATCGGGATTTGCATTTAAATTCGACGCGCGATGTCAAATGTGGTTCTGTTTCGTCATTTGTATTATACATACAAATGTGGGAAGTGGAAATTACACCGTCTTTGTAACGCTTTGCGTGCACGAAAAGTACTTTTGCCTATGGAGAAAACGCAGTGTTTTGGCTTTGTTTTCGCAGAGTCTTTGGAGAGTGGTTGCTGTACCCTCTCTAGAGACACGAGCATATAAAAGTGCTGAAAAGTTTTTTTTGAAAAAATTTAGCTCTGCGCTGGTAACTCGTTAGAAATGAAGCTTAATGTATTTAGTGCAGAGGTTGTCTTACCAATCACGTCCTTGATGGTCGCCGAGTTGTTGCACGTTATGAAGTAAGTATAAAAAGGTACCATGATAATGCCACCGTTTTTTTTCTGAAACACAAAACGTTGGACGTTTTAGCTTGTTTTGTAGTAGCAGAGGAATTACTTGTTTGGTTTCCGTTGGTATGGATTCATAGAGCTTCACCATTGTAAAATTGTATCGTGATTTTACAAGGTGTGTTTGTCAACAGTCTCTATAAGAGTCAAACCGCACCAAGGCAGCTGTAACGTTTTTAAAAATGAAAGTTGAGTTCACTTATTTTATTTGTTTTCTCTTTATTTGATACTTACTCCCACGCACGCCTTTTTATTTTTTGATAAGAGATATAATTCACGACTTGTAAATTCAATAGGGGGTTGAAGTAATAATAAGAGCTCGTGCTTGAGTTATACCCCAGGTACACAAGTGGTTGTGTCTTTTGTTTGTCAGTCTAATCTATTTAGGCAATATCATCCTAATATGAGCTCAGGGGACAATGATCTGAAGGCGATTGTACTGACGAAGAGGAGGACGAGGTCAAAAAAGCTAATGCCGATCTGTAGGAGTGATGTGCAACTAAAATAGTTTTGACTTATCATGTTTATCATCGAATGTACTATCAAAGGGTATATACATCATCATATTGTAAAATACTACATGATTTTATGAAAATTACCTAATAAAGATAATTTGTTATTAATCTCTTTTCATACCTTGGGATTTTTTTTCTTTTACGACTATTATTTTGGTCATGCGAGTCACATGCAAATCAACGCAACAACCGTGTGATGACCAAGTTCATGTTAAACAACAAAAAATTTTTCAATAGCTGGTAGCAAAAAACAAAAAAAAACAAAAAAAAAAAAAAAAAGATGGCACTTACGATGCAGAATTTAGTTATCAATTATTAACGCTCCAACTCATTGGAAAATACGAGTATAGTTATACCAAAGTACCTTTTTTCCATGTTTCTTCCATGTATATATACATTACACTGTACTAAAATACTAAAAAAATCAATTGTCATGTTCAAAGAATTAATTACGGATGTACACAGAACTCAATCGAGCTCTTTACGAGCTTTTAACTTTCAAGTTAATCAGAAACAGCACGATCCCGTCATATAATTACCACCTTTAGGACGCACGTACTGCACGTGATCAATCCCTTTGTCACGATCTCTCCACAGTCAAAACAAGAGCTACTGTTTTGTGATTTCCAACAGCAATCACTCGAGTCATTTTTCCGGCATCTCGCGCTGTTATTGTCGCAGCAAACAAAGTTGGATCATTGTTTCGCCAGTGTAACGAGGGACTCGATAATCGGAATGCAAAATCAAGGGCTTTTGTCCTATAATGCTCGTCGATGACTCTCGACGAGGCGCTCGATCCGGAGCTCGATTTGGCTTGTTTGTTTGGCGCAAATTGCAAAAAATAACCCTCACGCGGTAAAATGCGGGAGCTTCATTATGGATGATTGCACGGCGCATTAAGCTACCACCGTTTATATACTTAATATTTGAAGTGAATTTAAAAAAAAAAAAAAAGAAGAAAAGAAAAAAGCTTATCTTTCACTGGAAAAAAAGATGGGAAATAAATGCACACTCGTTAGGCGTTGAATATCTTCCGTTTGGCGTAACTTTTACGCGTACGAAATACTGCGGACCTTTTACATTGTTACTATATACTGCAGTTGCCGGTTAATGCGGCTATGATTTACATTTTTAGAAAAGCAAAACTCTTTTAGCGTTTCCTTGGGGCTTATTGTCATGTAGTGGGAAAGGGTAACCTTTTTTGGGAAGGGAAAGGAGAGATACATGCCAACGAAATGGGGAAAAAAAAGGACGTGCTCATGGGGAGCAAAGGTATACCTGCGAATCGACCCAAATTGTACAGCTGGTTAGTGCATAATTATTCACATCTCGCGAAGCTCACCGCTGCTGGCGATCCAGATATAAGCTTGTACTTATGGAAATTAATATGATTTCACGTACCCGTACGTTTAACGAACGGGAAGGGGAGAGAAAAATGTGCAACCGAGCGTAACTGTACACACGTTTAATACGGGTATGCGTTGTTGGCAGCTCCAGTTTCGTTATTTTTAATTTAGTAATTGTTGCTGTCTGCAGATCATATGAATCCAAATACTATAGTTATTGGTTTTTTTATAGTTTATTTTTGCAACTCTAGTCAAACAATGGGCATACTTTTATGACTGAATGTATATCCTATGTATTTTGGTTTAGGATTATAAAGTGTACATTTGTTATTGAAAAGGAACGAAATTTTATAAATAGCTCGTGATTTTATAATATTTTTAAAAATCAATGGAATGCGTGCAAAAATAAAAACTGTTCGCCAATTAGTTGTACAGTCAAAAAAATAGCTTCAATTACTTGACCTACAGATGCTGTATAGCACACAGATTGTTTTTAATTCAACATGTACCTTCAACCATTGGGTTAGTGGGTATCGCTACGTTAAACATGTCTTTCAGTGGTTTTGCGTCTGGTATACACCACTATAAAACATAAATTTTTGATGGTATAAAGTGATTCAAAACAGATACAAAAACTACCAAATAAATCCAGAACAATTTTTATGAAAATCCTTCTATGACTTGTAATTTACTAGGATGATGGGTGATATCGTCATTTATGGCGGCACTCACCGCCTGTAGATTTTTGCATCACGAGCGCACGCTCGAAACTTTGGAAATTTCCAAGTTGCAGTCGAGTATTTGATCACAAAAGCTGGGGAGGACGAAAAACACGAGGACCTTACACTCATTCCTTGGAAGTAGAACATGGGAACTGACAAGAGAGAAAAAAAAAAGAAGAAATTTTTCACTCGGCAAAGGTAGTGCGGCAAAGATGCGCCACCAAGAGCATATTAAAAAAGTTACGGAAAAATTTCTGATGCTCGCGAGTTTGCGTGCGTTATGTGCGGTGCCGGAAAGTTTGAAGAAGCTCTCAACAAATGGCGCGCTCGTGTCTCTTGTAGGCCACTTTTTGAGATCAATATTCAAATTTTCCTTCTCCTTTTTTTTTCTCGTTACCACTACCAAAGTTTCGAGCATCCTGTCTATATAGAACATGTAAGTACCGAAGCTATATGTAGTGTTCGTCGCGGAACAGTTGTTTATTGTTTTTTGGTTATTCGAGCTCGTACACTGTTTTTTTATACGTATGTAAATATATTAATTATATGATGCAACTAGATTTATAGCTTCGGAGCGTTATTTAGATTTTCAGACAAACTTTCTTTATTTCCACGAGAATTGGATACTTATTGTTTGCCTCTACAAGGATAACTCACATAAAGTGTCCCATCAGGACCGTAGAACGTGCAGTAAGGTAAAGCTAATGTTATCTTTATTACTTATAAAAATAATTAAAACAATTTTTTATTATTTATTTTACAGCCATTTTCAGATGTTGGCAGAGGTAATCAGTATTTGGCAAAGCTAAAATACTCAGTCATATTCTAATAAAGTTTTAGTTCTAGTTATTTAAATGTATTTAATAATTTTATTCGAGTGAAATATCTTAATAGAATACTACACTTTTTGTTGCATCTGTAATCGTAGCTTAAGTAAAGTAAAGTATCAACTGTTTTATTTAAATTTAACCCCAGGTACACAAGTG